GAGACACAGACCAACTCTGAAAGCAGGATTTGGTCTGCATCTCTCACAACCCCTCTGCCCTGAAAACTGCCCTGGGCAGGTCTCTCTGGTTCTTGGAGAAACATTTCAGGGTCAAAAATTTCCAACCCATAAACTGCCTGTGTTTCAAATTCGAAGGAGGCCTGTGTGGGACCTGGCTTTGCTTAACCTTTCACAGCACTGAACTTCCTGCTCTGCACAGCTCGTTCTTCCTGAAGCCTTCTCTGCTGGAGCTAGGTCAGACCAAGCTCAGCACCTCAGAGGTCATCTGATTGAAAAGGGAAAATTGGGCTGGGGTTGGAGCTGGATTGATATGGTTAGTGCTTGTCTAGCATGCACGAGGCCCTGGGATGGTCCCAGCACTCCATAAATCCCAGTATAGTATAAGAGAACTCTGAGAAGTGCAGGCAGGGGCTGGAGTGATGGCTCGGTGGCTAAGAGCACTGGCTGCTCTTGCAGAGGACCCGGGATAGGTTCCCAGAGCCCACATGTCAGGTAAAAACCATCTGTAACGCCAGTTCCAGGGGATCTGACGCCCTCTTCTGTCCTCCATGGGTATTTCACAACATGGGTGCACTTGCATACATGCAGGCATAACACTCATACACATAAAAATAAAATAAATTAAAAAAAAAAAGGCCAGGCGTGGTGGTGCATGCCTTTAATCCCAGCACTTGGGAGGCAGAGGCAGGCGGATCTCTGTGAGTTCAAGGCCAGCCTGGTCTACATAGTGAGTTCCAGGACAGCTGGGGCTACAGGGAGACCCTACTTCAAAAAGACAAAAAACAAAAAAAAACCCTTTTATTTATTTTTGCATTTATTTCATTTTATTATGATTTTTGGGTCTCACTATGTAGTCCTGGCTTGCCTGGAACTTGCTATGTAATCCAAGCTGGTCTCCAACTCATAGAAATTCCCCCTGCCTCTAGCTCTGGAGTGCTGGGATTAAAGCTATGCACCACACCCAGCTATTTTATTTTATTTTCCAAAACATTTTTGAAATGTTCACATGGAGCCTTAGGCTATAGCAGGGACAAGGGGCATGGCTGTATCAGGGCTCCTTCCTTCTTTTCTTCCCTCCCTCCCCCTCCCC